TAAGGATTCATTCGCTCAATGGTTGGTGGATGCTTGTTTTTGTTTAACCAATCGCTGCTATTTGGTCGTGACGTTTGTAATGCGCCAAATCCCGTAGGAAGAAGCACAATAACGTCTTTCCCCTCGATAAAATTCACCAAACATTCTCTTTGTTCCGGCTTTAAATCCTCGATCTCGGGAATCGTTGCCAACACAGAATGTCTGTCTTCGTCTACATCCATCTCGACGCTTTGTTTACTGTTGCGCTGTTCCACAAAAGGGACACAGACAGACGCGACGAGTTTGACGTCATGGCTTCACAGCTCTTCACTGATTGGCCGGTGTGCAGTCTACAAGTCTTAGAAAACGTCTAGTGCAGGGGTGTCAAACTCATTTTGGTCCGGGGGCCGTATCCAACCGACTTTGATCCTAAAGGGGCCGGATCAGAAAACTCATGTCATATAAACCCCAAAATAACAATAAGTTCAAATATTTGTGCAGAGAAACACAAATCTATTACAGAAATCTTTTTTAACTGATGAACTCTTTCTTTTACAAAATATTATAATATTATGAACAACCTGAAACTTTAAGAAAAATGCAATTTCAACACAATGTTTTAACATTAACTTGTATGCAAATATGAATAAGTCAATTTTTGTTGTAAAATCCTGCACTCGGCTCCACTTTTCTCATGTTGGACATTTTTCTGATGAGGGTGTCACGGTCAACAGTCAAAACGATCGTCCTTTAAGAGCGTTTGGAAAGAGACAAGTCTTCATTTGTGCTGCTCTGGTGGGAGGGGCCACGTACAGAGACGCTGGAGACGCTGCTGTGATAAACACCACAGAAAATTAACAATATTTTAATAGAAAATATAATTAAAATATTCTAGTAGAAAATCAGCCGAGGGCCAGATTAAAGGTCTTGGAGGGCCGGATCTGGCCCCCGGGCCTTATGTTTGACACCTGTGGTCTAGTGTATTCTGATTCCTGACCTAGTCGCTGGAAAGAAATGAAATTGAGCGGAGGCACTAGGTGACATTTTATGTTATTTTACTGACTATTTTGTTCCAATATTGCTGGTTCATTTGAATGTTGAAAAGAAAAAGAAATGGGCTACATTTAATGTCCAAACGGATCAACTTATGGATCCTTTTATTGCTACTTCAGTGACTATTTTTCATTGTTTAAAACTTGAGTAATACTAACTGTTCAGAGAGACACGATCACTCAGTCAACAATAAAATATCCTCATTAATCTTCAATAATGTTCAAATCCACCTTTATTTTGTGATTTGTGAATAATGTCTATTGACTTGAGTCTTGAAGGTTTGTGACTTTTAAAATCCCAGAAAACTTTAAAACTTACTTACTTTTGGACGTTACTTTGAAAAACATCCATTAGTTCTGTTTTGTTTTATTTACACTAACAGCATATTTAGGCTGAGTTCTTCTCTCAAACAGAAAAAAAACCCCACTCTGTTCCAACTTGTGACGTCATGTGGTAATACAGGAAATGCTCCACTGTGTTTTTAAACTCCGCACACCTTCACTATGATCATATTAAAATTTGCAGTCCTGGAATTGCCCGTGTCTTCTGAAGTAAAGGTAAAAGGCGAATAAAAACAAAACAGAAGTGCTTATCAGTTTGTGGCAGTTCTCTCGCAGATATTTGAACTATTGCCACGAGTTTATTGTTCAACAGCAACATAATTTTTATAGCAGAGGCCTCTCCTTGGCTAAAATAAATGCAAAACTGCTTCAGCCTCTGTGTCATGCAGCCTGTGAGTTTTATTTTCACTTTGAGCTGGAGTTTTATGACCTGTTCTGACCAGCGTAAGTCACAGAAAAGCTCGTTCTGACAAAGGCAATACGACGATTCTGATTCTGATGTCATACATTTCCATTTTTCTCATTTTCCCCCCTCGCCCTCTGTCTTTTCACGTGCATAATTTGTGAAACTCGGCACAAGACGCACGAGGACGTCTACTCTCTCTCCTCTTTCTCTGTTCCTTCTGTACTTTACTCTCTCTTTTTCTGTCTCTTTCTCTGCTCTCTCCCTCTTTCTCTGTTCCTTCTGTACTTTACTCTCTCTTTCTCTGTCTCTCTTTCTCTGTTCCTTCTGTTTTACTCTGCTCTCTTACTCTCCCTCTCCCTCTTCTCTGTTCCTTCTGTACTTTACTCTCTCTTTTCTGTCTCTTTCTCTGCTCTCTCCCTCTTTCTCTGTTCCTTCTGTACTTTTCTCTCTCTTTTTCTGTCTCTTTCTCTGCTCTCTCCCTCTTCTCTGTTCCTTCTGTACTTTACTCTCTTCTTCTCCTGTTTCTTTCTCTGCTTCTTTCTCTTTCTCTGTTCCTTCTGTACTTTACTCTCTCTTTTTCTGTCTCTTTCTCTGTTCCTTCTGTACTTTACTCTCTCTTTTTCTGTCTCTTTCTCTGTTCCTTCTGTACTTTTCTCTCTCTTTTTCTGTCTCTTTCTCTGCTCTCTCCCTCTTTCTCTGTTCCTTCTGTACTTTACTCTCTCTTTTTCTGTCTCTTTCTCTGCTCTCTCCCTCTTTCTCTGTTCCTTCTGTACTTTACTCTCTCTTTCTTCTCTGCTCTCTCCCTCTTTCTCTGTTCCTTCTGTACTTTACTCTCTCTTTTTCTGTCTCTTTCTCTGCTCTCTCCCTCTTTCTCTGTTCCTTCTGTACTTTACTCTCTCTTTTTCTGTCTCTCTTTCTCTGTTTCTCTGTACTCTCTCTCTTTTCTGTCTCTTTCTCTGCTCTCTCTGTACTTTACTCTCTCTTTTCTGTCTCTTTCTCTGCTCTCTCCCTCTTTCTCTGTTCCTTCTGTACTTTACTCTCTCTTTTTCTGTCTCTTTCTCTGCTCTCTCCCTCTTTCTCTGTTCCTTCTGTACTTTACTCTCTCTTTTTCTGTCTCTTTCTCTGTTCCTTCTGTACTTTACTCTCTCTTTTTCTGTCTCTTTCTCTGCTCTCTCCCTCTTTCTCTGTTCCTTCTGTACTTTACTCTCTCTTTTTTCTGTCTCTTTCTCTGCTCTCTCCCTCTTTCTCTGTTCCTTCTGTACTTTACTCTCTCTTTCTCTGTCTCTTTCTCTGCTCTCTCCCTCTTTCTCTGTTCCTTCTGTACTTTACTCTCTCTTTCTCTGTCTCTTTCTCTGCTCTCTCCCTCTTTCTCTGTTCCTTCTGTACTTTACTCTCTCTTTCTCTGTCTCTTTCTCTGTTCCTTCTGTACTTTACTCTCTCTTTTTCTGTCTCTTTCTCTGCTCTCTCCCTCTTTCTCTGTTCCTTCTGTACTTTACTCTCTCTTTTTCTGTCTCTTTCTCTGTTCTCTCCCTCTTTCTCTGTTCCTTCTGTACTCTGGTCTCCCTTGCCCTCTCTCTCTCTCTCTGGGTCTGTCGCTTTCTCTCTCTTCCTTCTGTTCTCTGCTCTGTCTCTCTCTCTCTGTCTCTCTCTGTCGCTTTCTCTCTTCCTTCCCTTTTTGTCCTCTGCTCTCTCTTTTTCTCTTCCTTCTCTTTCTGTCTTCTCCTGTGCTCTCTCTCTCACTCAATCAGTCTCTCTATCTCTCTTCTCTTTCTGTACTCTGCCCTTCCTTCTCTTTCTGTATTCTTCACTCTCCCTCCGTCCCTCCCTCCCTCGCTCTATCCCGCTCTCTCTCTCTCTCTCTCTGTCTCTTTCTCTCTTCCTCCTGTACTCTGCCCCCCCCTTTCTCTCTTCCTTCCCTTTCTGTCCTCTGCTCTCTCTCTCACACTCTCTCTTTTTCTCTCTCTCTTTCTTTCTTTCTTTCTTTCTTTCTCTCTCTTCTTCTCTTTCTATCCTCTGCCCCCCACTCTCTCTTTCTCTCTTCCTTCTTGTTCTGTACTCTCCTCTCTCCCTCCCTCTCTCTGGCTGTCCTCTTCTCTCTCTCTCTCTCTCTCTCTGTCTAGATATCTATCTATCTTTCTCTCTTCCTTCTCTTTCTGCCCTCTGCTTTTTCTCTTTCTGCTCTCTCTCTCTCTCTCTCTCTCTTTCTCACTCACTCATTCACTCTCTCTTTCTCTCTTCTTTCTTTTTCTGACTTCTCCTCTGCTCTCACTCTCTCTCTTCCTTCTCTCTTTGTCCTCTGCTTTCTCTCTCTCTCTCTCTGTCTCGCTCACTCTCTTTCTCTCTTCCTTCTCTTCTTGTACTCGCCTCCCTCCCCCCCCTCTTTCTCTGCATTCTCTCTGTCTCTCTTTCTATCATCCTTCTCTTTCTGTCTTCTCCTCTGCTCTCTCACGCTCTTTCTTTCTTCCTTCTCTTTTTGCCCTCTGCTCTCTCTCTCTCTCTCAGTCTCTTTCTCTCTTCCTCCTGTACTCTGTCCCCCCCTTCTCTCTTCCTTCCCTTTCTGTCCTCTGCTCTCTCTCTCTCTCTCACTCACACTCTCTCTTTCTCTCTTCCTTCTTGTTCTGTACTCTCCTCTCTCCCTCCCTCTCTCTGGCTGTCCTCTTCTCTCTCTCTCTCTCTCTCTCTCTCTCTATCTATCTAGATATCTATCTATCTTTCTCTCTTCCTTCTCTTTCTGCCCTCTGCTTTTTCTCTTTCTGCTCTCTCTCTCTCTCTTCCTTCTCTTTCTCACTCACTCATTCACTCTCTCTTTCTCTCTTCTTTCTTTTTCTGACTTCTCCTCTGCTCTCACTCTCTCTCTTCCTTCTCTCTTTGTCCTCTGCTTTCTCTCTCTCTGTCTCGCTCACTCTCTTTCTCTCTTCCTTCTCTTCTTGTACTCGCCTCCCTCCCCCCCTCTTTCTCTGCATTCTCTCTGTCTCTCTTTCTATCATCCTTCTCTTCTGTCTTCTCCTCTGCTCTCTCACGCTCTGGCTCTTTCTCTCTTCCTTCTCTCTTTGTCCTCTGCTCTCTCTCTCTCTCTCTCTGTCTCGCTCACTCTCTTTCTCTCTTCCTTCTCTTCTTGTACTCGCCTCCCTCCCTCCCCCCTCTTTCTCTGCATTCTCTCTGTCTCTCTTTCTATCATCCTTCTCTTTCTGTCTTCTCCTCTGCTCTCTCACGCTCTGGCTCTTTCTCTCTTCCTTCTCTTTTTGCCCTCTGCTCTCTCTCACTCACTCACTCACTCACTCACTCTCTCTCTCTCTCTCTCTTCCTTCTCTCTCTCTGTCTCTCTTTCTGTCAGTGTGTGTCGTTTCCTCTTCGGTGTTGGAGCGGGCGCAGTTCGCCGGGTCTCTGTCCAAACGCACCGGGATGATTTTCTAACATGACTCCACTTCACGTCTCCAAACGTAAGTAGCGAAAGTTACGCTCGTAAAATGACCTTTTCCTAAAAACTTTTACTCTCATTTCGCGTCGCTGCTTCATTTCATCTGCTGTGAGTTTAAAGTAACGCGAGTTTACGCACGGAAAAACGCGAAACTTTAACGCGTAAAATCCATGACAGCTGCGTATTTTGGAGATCGTGGTTCGCTTTTATCTCGCACGGTTGGCGTTGTGGTGCAGGGATCGGTTCCTTGGAGAGCTGTCATCCCGCAGATCGGCGCGTCCCAGCGGATTAACGGTGTTCATTTCCACCGGCGAAGTGCCCCGAGATCCACTTACAAGGCAAACGACAGCGCCAAACGAGACGGGGAGCAAGAGACAGAGAGAACGCGTCCTAGAAAGGCTGGAAAAGCTGAAGCAAAACTATTCTGAACGTGTTTTATGTTGAAAATTTATGATAAACACTTAAATCTACCGGAAAATTGCATGTTTACAAACTGAAAATCAATGAAAATCTTTACAAACTGTTCATTTCTTAAGCGTTCGCAGTATAGTTCGGGTAAAATTTGGATAAGGACCAAGAATTCCCTGGTTCCTCAAGTGTCTATACCAAAATTTGAACTACAGATGTTGAAGTTTAGAGGATAAAATTCACTTTTCGATACAGAGCGAGTTGTTTCTAAGAGTGCACTGCAAAAAAGCTTGGCTAAAACTGAAGATAAACACGTAAATCTACTGGAAAATGTTCATTTCTTAAGCCTTTACGATATAATTTGGGTAAAATTTGGACAAGGACCAAGAATTCCCTCGTCCCTCAAGTGTCTATACCAAAATCTGAACTACAAATGTTGAAATTTAGAGAACAAAATTCACTTTTCGATACAGAGTTGTTTCTAAGAATTCTTGGTCAAAATTTAAGATAAACACTTAAAATGACATGTTTACAAACTGAAAATCAATGAACATCTTTACAAAATGTTCGTTTTCTTAAGCTTTCATGGTGTGGTTTACATAAAATTTGGACAAGGACCAAAAATTCCTTCATTCCCCAAGTGACTATACCAAAATTTGAACTAGAAATGTTGAAATTTAGAGGACAAAATTCACTTTCCTACACAGAGCGAGTTGTTTCTAAGGGTGCACTGCAAAAAAGCTTGGCCAAAAAAAAAAAGATAAACACTTAAATCTACCAGAAAATGTTCATTTGTTAAGCTTTCACAGCATGGTTCGGGTAAAATTTGACCTGGACCAAGAATTCCCTCACAGTAAGTGTCTAAAATCCAAAATTTTAAACCACAGATCTAATCAGAATGTCTAAATAGATTATCTCACGATCATAAATATGTGTGAAATATAAATATAATGTTTCAAAAAGCAGGAAGAGCACATTTTTCTTATTTTCTTGTTCTTCTTTTTGCATCTTTGAGCCAACTGTGGTGTCCTGAGTGAAATCAAACTCAGAAGAAAAGACCCCCTCCCCTTGACTGACTTGTGTTCCTTATGTGCATCATGTACAGGATGATCACAACTTTCACGGTTTTGAGATCTCTTTGCTCCTTCAAAAACCAGCAGGTGTCTAATTCTGGGAACCTGGGGCACGGGGGAATCTCAAAACAGTGAACACTTGAACCCGTGAACTCTGTCCCATTAAAAAAACACACACAAACACGGTCTGTACAGTTTCACAGTTTATAATGATATCGTTTAATGTGACGATACGGTGTCGATATCATTTGCTGCTGTATCGATTTGGTTTGTTTTACTAAATTATTTTGTTGCAGAGCTACAGTTTTGTTGTTTGTTCAGAGGAAGGAAACTCTTTTATGTGACACATTTGACATTTTCACTGTTTCGATGATTAAAATGTTTGTGTTTCATATGAACGTTGCACAAGAAGTGGTTTAACAAAGACTTTTGGTTTCACAGCCACGATTTAGCCTTTATTTTTTATTGAACTGTGTCGGAATTGACTTGAAAAATATTATATCAAATCAAAAGTGCACTGTATTGAGATTATGTACGGCCTATGTATCGTATCGGCAACTTCTTAATGATTCCCTGAACCTAAGTTTCAAGATTCCCTAAAACTTCTATTTTTCTTCATTTGAGCCGCACTGATAAATCTAAAATCCATCTCAACTGATCTGGGGGAAAACTGATCCAAACCAGCCTCAGTGTCCAAAAATTTGTAGCACCTTTACAAAAGTATAAAATTTAGAAAATATTTAATTTTTTTCTATTTTGTCAAAGCCATACCGGCCTGTAAAAGCCTGATCCCGTCAGATCTCAGAAGCTCAGCAGGTCAGGGCCTGGTCTGGACTTGGATGAGAGACTCTGGGAAAATCAGGAGCCACAGTTGGACAACAGTGGTAAAAAAGGTGTTGTTGTGTCCTGAAGCAAGACACTTCACCCTCGCTGCCTAGTATGAACTCTCAAAGCTCTGTAAAGTGTCTTTGAGTGTCCAAAAAAGCGCAATATAAAACTGATGCATTCATTATTTTTTGTCTGTTTTGGCAACGTTTAGGAAAAGTCAAATTTGAAAAAGACAGAGGTGGGGACGTGTAAGTCGTGATTTGGACTCAAGTCAGATTTGAGTTACTATTTTTAGGGCTTAAGACTTGACTTGATAAAATGGACTAAGACTTGGGACTTGACTTGTACTTGAGGCCTGTGACTTTGCAAACCATCTAGTGTATTCTGACTTAGTCGCTGGAGAGAAATGAAATTGAGCGGAGGCACTAGGGCTGCGTTCAGACTGCAGCCTGAAGTGACCCAAATCTGATTTTTTGGCCCCTATGTGACCTGTATCTGATCTTTTAATGACAGTCTGAACGACACAGATCCGATTTCTTCAAATGCGACCCAGGACACTTGGATATGTGCTCCTGAAACCGATACATATCTGATCTTTTGACATGCGACTTCAGTCTGAACGGCCAAAGTGCATTCATCCACCTACACGTTATCAACAAGACCACAAACGTCACTATTCTGCGCTGAAGTAGGCAAAAATTGTTAATGAACTCTGTGTCACTGAAGCGAAGCACATCACCACTCACCACTCTTGGCTCCGTCTCCACATCCACACGTTCCTTTAAACGGACGTCACACAAAGCGCCACGGCCAAAAACCTCGTCCTTCTCCTTCTCAATCTCCTCCTTAAAACAAGTAAGTTGTTCATGTTCTGGCTCCGGTACGAGAGGAACTTTAAAATCTCCAGGTGCTCAATGCTCATGCGTCCATGTTTGGAACAACTTCCTTAAAACACAGAGACGCTCGCTGCGGTTGACGTCGTCGTGTCTCCAGTGTCACATGCGGGGACACTTTTGGGCTGTTTAATGTTCACACTGGAGTCACATACAAGTCACATTTAATTGGAAATGTGAACGACCTCGCAAAAACATCAGATTTCACCAAAAAAATCAGAATTGAGCGTTAAGCCCTGCAGTCTGAACGTAGCCTAGGTGGCGCCAGCCTTGCTACAACTCTCCACAGATCTGACCTGTAATGTAGTGTAGCGCTGATTTAATTTATACTTTGGAACATTCTACACAAAGCAATAACATTTCCACGGAGACAAGCAGTTTGCCGGGGCTCTCCACTAGAAATGTTACGCAGTGCACCTTTAATAAACCATTGGCACAGAAATGAAGCCACATCTCTGTCGGTCTGCCCCAGGGCGACCGCTTTGGCAACAGGAGGAGCAAACCGCGGTCATTACTGAAACACGACAGAATTAAATTACCTGTGTTTGGCTACAGCAGCACAGCACTTAATTAAAGGTTCATTGTGTAACCTTTCTTACGCAGGCGGGTTCACTTTTCCAGACTAGAATGTTCCAAAACATTCTATAAAGGGAGACAAGCAGGTTACAGGTCAGATCTGTGGAGAGGCAGCCCCACTCGCTCTTAGAATGTAACTTTAAATGTATTACAGAAAAAACGACATCTGTAGATTTTGTTGAATAATTAAAGCCATATTGTGGAATATTCCTGACAAAGCAATAATGAAGGATACAAGCAGATGTAGGAGAATTATTCTACTGGGGACGTGAGTCTTGACGTCATGAACTCCGCCCACCTACACCGGGACCAGACCGGGACTAAGACCAAGGACTGAACTGGGAGGACTAAACCAGATCTGAACCAGGACTAAACAAGGACTAAACCAGATCTGAACCAGGACTAAACGAGAACTGAACCAGGACTAAACAAGGACTAAACCAGAACTGAACCAGGTCTAAACCAGGTCTAAACAAGGACTAAACCAGATCTGAACCAGGACTAAACGAGAACTGAACCAGGACTAAACCAGGTCTAAACCAGGTCTAAACAAGGACTAACCAGACTGAACAGGACTAAACCAGAACTGAACCAGGACTAAACGAGAACTGGGTCTAAACCAGGTCTAAACAAGGACTAAACAAGGAACAGGACTAAAACCAGGTCTAAACCAGGTCTAAACCAAACTAAACCAGGACTAAACCAGGTCTAAACCAGGGTCTAAACAAGGACTAAACCAGAACTGAACCAGGTCTAAACCAGGTCTAAACAAGGACTAAACCAGAACTGAACCAGGACTAAACCAGGACTAAACCAGGTCTAAACCAGGTCTAAACAAGGACTAAACCAGGACAAATCCAGGACTAAACCAGGACTACACCAGGACTAAATCAGGACTACACCAGGACTAAACCAAGACTAAACTAAACCAGAACTGAACCAGGTCTAAACCAGGACTAAACCAGGTCTTAACCAGGACAAAATGAGAACTGAACAGGTCTAAACCAGGACTAAAAACTAAGGTCTAAAAAACAGGTCTGAACCAGGACTAAACCAGAACTAAACAAACAACTAGGTCTAAACAAGGACTAAACCAGAACTAACCAGGACTAAACCAAGGAACTAAACCAGGTCTAAACAAGGACTAAACCTAAACCAGAACCAGGTCTAAACCAGGACTAAACCAGGAACCAGGTCTAAACCAGGACTAAACCAGGACTCCAAACCAACTAAACAGGACTAAACCAGAACTGAACCAGGTCTAAACCAGGTCTAAACAAGGACTAAACCAGAACTGAACCAGGACTAAACCAGGACTAAACCAGGTCTAAACCAGGTCTAAACAAGGACTAAACCAGGACTACACCAGGACTAAATCAGGACTAAACCAGGACTAAACCAAGACTAAACCAGAACTGAACCAGGTCTAAACCAGGACTAAACCAGGTCTTAACCAGGACAAAATGAGAACTGAACCAGGTCTAAACCAGGTCTAAACCAGGACTAAACTAGGTCTAAACAAGGACTAAATGAGAACTGAACCAGGACTAAACAAGGACTAAACCGCGTCTAAACCAGAACTAAACCAGGACTAAACCAAGTCTAAACCAGGTCTAAACCAGGACTAAACCAGGACTCCACCAGGACTAAACCAGAACTACACCAGAACTACACCAGAACTACACCAGGACTACTCCGGAGCCATTTATAGACTGAAAAATACATTAAATACAAGAGCCTTACATGGGGTTCAGTTTGATCTACATGATCTATCATCCATTTATTAGCGCACAAAGATCAAACGATACATGTACACTGGTAAAAGTCATTTAATTCATCAAATTTTAGTCATTCAGCACATTACACAGGATTCAGAAATATCTTGGCGAGCAGGTGGAGAGATCCTGGTACCACCCGAGCTGCAGGTTGGAGACTCTGTAGCTCTGTGGAGTCACAGTTGATCTGGGTCTGGTTCAGTCCTGGCGTTCACCTGGTTTGGCCCCGGACTCTGACCCTGGCTCCTGTGTCTCCTGTGTCTGAGCTCAGAGAGGATCACATGTCCCTCTCCAGTGTAATGTGATTATAAAGCAGCTCCAAACCCCAGACCCTGCACCTGTCTATCTGTGTGTGACTGACTGAGTGAATGAGTGAGTGAGTTTACTGTCAGTACGGCAGCCTGTTTGGACAATCCACTCAAACGTAAACAAATGGCTGTTTTGGCAATACACAGGTGAGGCGATCTGCGCTGTTAAACGAGTCTCTCACACGTAAAATTACAGTCACACACTCGATAGAAACAGTTTTTCAGTTTGTCACTCTCACCTTTTTGTTGTAAATCAAACTCTTTTTCTTTCCTATTAATCACAGGCTCCTGAAAATGTGATTTTGCGTCCAACATTCCACCATTATACATCCATGTAGAACACCCCCAGCATGATATCAGTGCAAAGTATCAATAAGTGTTTGTACCTGAAGCGGTTAGTGTCCGGAAAGGCTTCTGACGTAAATCCCACATGCTGAAAGCCGGAAGATATTTGAGATGTTACAAACTTTGTAGATAATTCTCCAACGACAAGTACGGATTTATTTTTTTAAACCAGTTTTTTCTTGTTCTAATAGACACATCAAGAATTTCAGACTTCCGGTCATTGCACAACTCATACTGGGAAGGATTCTCCGAAAAAGTGAGCATCAAACCGCCATGTTTGTTTTCCCAGTGGGATGCGTCTATTGACAAAGCCGATCTTTTCAAGTTTTTTGAACCATATCGTTTTTTTTTCTGGTTCTGATATTGTCCTATTTTAGTTTTGGGATTCGGACATCGTAATTGTGTGGTTGTTGGATGTTCTGACAGCGGAAAACGGCTCGAGAAATTTGTTTGCGAACTCCATAAATGCAAAAGGGAATCAGATGTGTGTGACTGCAAACCTCTGTTCAAACTGTTTCCCTTCCCAACGGAATTGAAAAATAGTGAAAGGTGAAGGCGATGGGCAGGATTGATCCACGGGAAGGACAAAAAAGGAAACTTTTGGCTGCCTAAGAAATCATCCGAAATTTGCAGCGAACATTTTGTATGTGGAGCAACAACAAAGCGGGATCCCAATTGTTAAGCGAGAGGTGCAGAAGACAAACAGACTGAGCTGCACTTTCTTGTTCTTGTGGTTTTACAGCAACAGCCTTGGTCTCTTTGCAGTGGAAGGTGTTTCTTGGCGAACAGCTGGTGCCTTTCGATTTGGCGTTGACTTTTTAAATTCGTAAACAAGGTTGAGCGAGGGATCGGGATTTTGCTTTGATGGCTCTCCACGTACAAAACTAAAATACGACAAAATCAGAACCAGAAACAAAAGCGATATGTTTCAAAATACTTGAAAAGATCAACTTCAACCTGTAACATCCAGTGCACCCCGGTTATGTGTGTGCCAACTTGTGTAATGATTGGGTGAATATTTTTGCCCGCGGATGTTTCAGAAATTGCCGAAATTGCCTTTATAACGGCGTGACCTTTCAACTGACCCGTGTGACGTCAGATGACCTCGGATCGTCACCAAACTTTTTTTTTTTTGCAGCATCGGGCACGGGGGCTTGACCCACGTACCAAATTTGGTGACAATTGGTCCATAAATAAATTGTTGCAGGTGGACAGACACACAGGGAGAATACAAAACCTGGACAACCGTTTGGGGACCAGGTAATGATGAGTGACCAATGAGCTCCTTTTGTTTCACGTGTCACTCAAATAAACAGATCTGATTGGCCGGTCGTGTTTGAGCCTGACTCTGAAAGTGACAGAGGGAGTGTGCACTAGACTGATATAAATTTGTATAAAATAATACAGATTCTGAACAAATCTCTTATTAGAACAAGAAAATACTGATTGGAATAAATAAATCTGTACTTGTCGTTAGAGAATACACGCATCAAGAATGTCCGACTTCCGGTCATTGCGCATAATTAACTTGATTAACACGATTAATTTGCATATTTTGGGTGATTGTTAAGATAAACAGTTTTAACTCTTATTAACAGACTGATTATATTTGTGCAATTTTTGGTTAGTAATATGATTCAAATTGTTGTTATAGATAGCAGCTAAAAAGATTGAAGACAGGACATTAAAGCTCCAAAAATACCAAAAATATGTGTCCGTTTCTACTCTCTAATTGCAGTACCGTTCTGGATAAAGTGGTAAAGTACATGTATACCAGGGGTGTCAAACTCATTTTGGTCCAGGGGCCGTATCCAACCTACTTTGATCCCAAAGGGGCCGGATCAGAAAACTCATGGCATATAAACCCCAAAAACAGCAATAAGTTTATAATAAGTCTATAATATTTGTGCAGAGAAATGTAAATCTATTACAGAAATCTTTTCTAATTGATGAACTTTTTCTTTTACAAAATATTATAATATTATGAACAACCAGAAACTTTAAGAAAAATGCAATTTCAACACAATATTTTAACATTAACTTGTATGTAAATAAGAATAATTAAATTTTTCTTGGAAAATCCTGCACTCGGCTCCACTTTTCTCATTTTTGACATTTTGCTGATGAGGGTGTCACGGTCAACAGTCAAAACGATCGTCCTTTAAGAGCGTTTGGAAAGAGACAAGTTTTCATTTGTGCTGCTCTGGTGGGAGGGGCCACGTACAGAGACGCTGGAGACGCTGATATGATAAGCGACGCAGAAAATTACCAATATTTTAATAGAAAATATAATTAAAATATTTTAGTAGAAAATCAGCCGAGGGCCAGATTAAAGGTCTTGGAGGGCCGGATCTGGCCCCCGGGCCGTATGTTTGACACCCCTGATGTATACTGTATAGTCCTCCTACAAATCTCCAATAATATGTGTAAAAATATACGTACCATGGAAGAACAGTTTAATCATTTCAGTCAGTTTCAGGCTTTAGGTTTTGAATTCCGATTTGTTTTTAATTAGAACCATCTTTAATTAATTGTCATCTGTTGTTTGTGTCAAGAATGTGTGTGTGTGTGTGTGTGTGTGTGCATACCGCCGAGTGTGTAACTCCCTGTGGGGTATTTACGCAGTTTTATGTGGCCACCCAAGAGTTGTTAACTAATATTTGTGTTTTGTTTTTTCCTGATCAGATGCAGACTGGATGGTGGGAGCTTGAAACTTTCTCTGCACGTTTGTAAGATGGAGAGAGAGGGATCGTTCAGGAGGTAATAACACACACACTCACACACACACACACACACACACACACACACATATACAAAGAGAGACTTGTAGAAACATTTACTCTGTGCTTCTCAGTGGCTTTTGTGTCTCAGTCAAAGGTCGGGTGAGGGTCGTCAGTTCTGTGTCAGGGCAGTTTGAGGAGAGGAACAGCCCTCAAGACAAAAGTGAATCTGTGTGTCATTGGTTCATTCGTTTTTCAAATTAAAAATAAGAAAATGAAAAAAAATACAAAAAAAATTCATTATTTGTCTCCAAATTTTGTGTTTAAATGAAAAATGGAAAAAACGGATAACGGACGTTTCTCATTTCCATGACTTTAAACTGTGACTGAACCCGGACTGAACCAGGACTGAACCAGGTCTAAACCAAGTCCAAACCAGAACTGAACCGAGTCTAAACCAGGTCCAAACCAGAACTAAAACCAGGTCTAAACCAGGTCTAAACAAGGACTAAACTAGTGAACTGTTGTGTGATCAGGACTGAGACCGAGACTCAGACCGGGACCAGTCCAAGATTGAGAACAGGACTGAGACCAGGAGCGAGACTGGTTTAGTCCTGGTAGACCTGGTTTAGACCTGGTTCAGTTCTGGTTCCGGCATCACAGTTTAAGTCACGTAAACAGAAAACGGCCGTTATCCGTTTTTTCCATTATTCACAAAAAACGAATCATTATCTGTTTTTTTTTTCATTTTAGTTTTGGAGACAAATAATGAAGAAATAGTTGTTTTATTATTTTTGGTTTTATATTGAAAAGCAAATGAACGAATGATACTCCTCTGTGTCCTGCAGCATCACAGCAGCCTCCAGGGGGCGCCAAGTGAACAAAACTAAAAAGGCCTCGTTGTTAAAGCCAAGTTATAGTTGTGCGTCGACTCAGCACACACTGCTGCCATCGCCTTTTCGCAATAGTTTTCACTGCCGCGATGCTAGGAGGCTTTTCGTGTTTACAAAATGAAGCGGGAAAGCGGAGTACCAGAAACGTATGTAGAGCAGATGTAGAAAGGGCCAACGCAGAGAGTCTGTGTTGTGATGCGTACGATTTGATGCACGACAATAAATTGGGCTTTAGTCCACCCTGGTGTTTCAGTTGGTGACAAAAATGTTCTATTCTCTCATTCTCACTCTCCCTCAGAGTATTTCCTCTGGAAGGTTTTCTGCCACATTTGCTGCCCCATCTGGTGTAAAAAGTCTGTAGCATTTCAAATGTCCATAGTTATTTCAAACACACACACACACACACACACAAATATACATACACACACATGTACATAGGCAGAGGCTTTGTCTCTTCTGTGATGTCCTGTTTCTCTCTGGGACAAACAAAAACTGAAGTCTGCACATTCACAGGGACCTCATTCACTCTCTCTCTCTCGTTCTCTCTCTCATTCTTTCCCTCCTCTCTCTCTCGCTCTCTCTGACCCCCTCTCCCTCTTCAGGCCTCCCTCTCTCTCTCTCTCTCTCTCTCTCTCTCTCTCTGACCCCCTCTCCCTCTTCAGGCCTCCTCTCTCTCCCTCTCTTTCTCTGTCTCTCTCTCTCTCTGTATGACCCCCTTTCCCTCTTCAGCCCCCCCTCTTTTCTTTCTCTCTCTCTCTCTCTCTCTTCTCCCTCTCTCTTCTCTCTCTCTCTCTCTGACCCCCTCTCCCTCTTCAGGCCTCCCTCTCTCTCCCTCTCTCTCTCTCTCTGTCTCTCTCTCTCTCTGTATGACCCCCTTTCCCTCTTCAGCCCCCCCTCTTTTCTTTCTCTCACTCACTCTTTCTCTCTCTCTCTCCTCCTTCTCTCGTTCTCTCCTCTCTCTCACTCTCTCTTCTCTCTTTCACACACTCTCTCTCTCTTTCTCTTTCTTTCCTCGCTCTCTGTTTTTCTCTCTCTCTCTCACTCTCTCTTTCTCTCTCACACACACATTCTCTATCACTCTCTCTCTCTGACCTCCTCTCCTCTTCAAGCGTCTCTCTCTTTGTGCAGTAATTAGTCCGACACAGTTTCTCTTCAGTTCTTCCTGTTGTTCAGGGGACTCGTACAACAAGTGCCAAACGTCCTCCAGCCAGAAAGTTTAATACAGTTTAAATAGTTTGAAACAGGTCATTAGTGTTCGACCGGATGTCAAATAAAACTGAAACTCAGATAAATAATATTATACAATTTCAGGTAATCACAAATTGAATGGACGCAATTAACAAGTTTCCTGCTTAAACGACTAAATCTCCAGTCGTATTCTTCATTTAAAACTGCTAATGTGTTGTGAACTATGAAAATTACAACCAGTTACTTTTCCAAATTAGTTCAGCCTACTCTGCAAACTATGAAATATCAAAATCTTTTAAAAATGCCTTAAAAAACACTTTGTTTAAACCTCTGCAAACATGTTCTGAAATGCAGCTGATCAGTCAGTAATAGAAGTAGAAGTTCAGATTTCAGTTTTGTCATGTTATGTTCATGTTATAGCCCCTTGACACAAATTCCAAACTTTGAACAGAATCTGGATTTGAAAACATAAACTTGGAAATGTAATTACGGATGATCTTGAATTACAATGTGTCATTTTATAAAAAAAAAATAAAAAAATAATAATAATCGTCTTATCGTCTCATTTAAATCTAGAAGCAGTTTACAAGTAACCCGATTCATCAGCCAGTTTCACTTTGTGGAACACTTCGTGACCTCGCAGCATTAGGATTCGTTCACTTGACGCAGGCGGGTACTTTTTTATTTAACCAATCGCTGCTGTTTGGTCGTGATGTATGTAATGCGCCAAATCCCGCAGGAAGAAGGGCAATAACGTCTTTCCTTTTGATAAAATTAATCAAACATTCTCTTTGTTCCGGCTTTAAATCCTCGATCTCGGGAATCGTTGCCAACACAGAATATTTGTCTTCGTCTACGTCCATCTCGACGCTTTGTTTACTGTTGCACTGTTCCACAAAAGGGACACAGACAGACGCTCGAGTTTGACGTCATGGCTTCACAGCTCTTCACTGATTGGCCGGTGCATGGTCTACAACTTCCAGGGCTCTTGCAAACCATCTAGTGTATTCCGATTCCTGACCTAGTCGCAGGAGAGAAATTAATTTGAGCGGAGGAACTAGGTGGCACCAGCCTGACTAGTTTATTAGCAAGGACCACACCACAACAATTGAAAACGATAAAGATACTTACGACTGGGAGGAGACTCAAGCTCGAGGGTTTGTTTGAGGGGATCAGTCCAACCCATTTCAGGACCTTTGTACAGTAGAAGAAGTCTTCAGGCTGAAGGATGAACAAGAGACGTGGGGTGGGTGGAAGGGGGTCGAGAGAGCAGTGTTGTTGTCAGGATAGGCCTGTATAAAAAGGGTAACTGAAGGTGTGGTTGAGGTGAGTTGTGGTTCGCTGAAGAAGAACTCTTTTTGAGAACAGTTCTCGAGATGTGTAAAGAATCCCTCAGTCGTCCAGGTAGAAACCACGGCGAGGAGAAAATTCAGTTTGTTGACTGGACAAAAGTTAGTTTGGTTGAAGACGTTTCACAGCTCATCCAAGCTGCTTCTTCAGTTCTGGAACTGAAGAATCTGAATTTTCCCCTCGCCACTTTTTGAGAAGACTTAAATCATTATTGTGTCATGTTCTTCTGGCATAAAAAGTAAAATATAACTTTTTCTTTATTAGTCATGGTTTCCGACAAACAATTCTTTCCTGATTTGAAGGACACTTTCTGAGGATCCATAGACGACCTTTCCCCATTCAGAAGATATAATATTTTGACAGACAGACTGATACTTTATTGATCAAGAGGGAAATCCAAGATTTTTTCAATTTAGATGAGAATTTCTTGAATTTCTTCATTGCAATGACAACAGAAGATGGCTGAATATGGAGCTAGAGATCTGAAGGAACCTGCGTTCTTTTTAAACCCCATTATGTTTTGTCTACCGTCATCATTGAAGCAGTTTGTTAGCTAAATTATTTTCCAGTCCAATGAAACGTGTCACCTTTAAAAGCGTCCCCCTCCCTCACAGAAGCTCACGAGGCTCAAAGGTTCCATTGTTCTGCGGGCACACGAGGCTGGTGTCTCGTATGTCGTCTGCCTGGCACTGGAGAGGTTTGGACAGGAGCAGTGTCTGGGATTAGAACAGACAGAGACAGAGGTGATGCAGGAAAGGTATGCTGGGAAGTCCAATATTGTGCTAATTTTAGATTCAGATTCAGAGACGTTTGATTTTACTAACACATTTTCAACAAACCAGTGCAATCAATCAATGGTATAACACAACATTTTGGGCCCCGTAAACCTTACTCTGCAGATTTTTGCTTCACCCACTCCTTTTTGAACATGTATATAATTCCTTGCGAATCCTCATTATTGTCTGAATTTTCTTATGCTTTTTGTTAAGTCTTTATACTGATATTTCTGTGCATGTTTGAAATACACAACGGCAACAACAACTAAGGGACAGTCCAGAATTTTGGACATAGGACCTCATTTCCTAGTGAGCCAGAGTGTTGGAGACGTGTGGAGACACTTTTTTAAATATTCCATCCAGTCCTTGTATTTGCAGAGGTCACTGGTGCTAGACTAGTGCATGTCAATGGTCATAGTTTATCCTGCCACTAAAAACAGTCTTACCCACTCCACAAAACACCCGAAGAAAATCTATTATTACACCAGACTGTCCATGTAAATGTCTGTGTCGATAGAATAATGTTTGAAATAAAACTAACCTTGCATCGTATTAATTGTCGCATGTTGAGGGACTATTTTCTCATATATCAGTCCGCCACTGCCGAGCTTTCTATCAGTTAGTACAACTCGCTGCTGCTGCTCAGACATAAATCTTTCAAATGCAAGGTTGGTTTTACTTCTAAAATTATTCTATCGACACAGACATTTACATGGACAGTCTGGTGTAATAATAAATTTGTTTTGGGTGTTTTGTGGAGTGGGTAAGACTGTTTTTAGTGGCAGGATAAACTATGACCATTGACATGCACTAGTCTAACACCAGTGACCTC